GAAAAAAACTCATGGAAGAAAAAAGAATTGTCTGCAACTTATCGAAAAAAAGTGGAACTCCAAAAGTTTACAAAGGTTGAATAAATTGACATATAGGAAGAAAACAGCTATTGTATTAAACGAACCAATGACGAAGTATAGTTGATTAGCAGTTTATTTAACAATGAAACGAGAGCTCAGACTGGTGAATATTGCAAGAAATCAGTGTGGCTGTGAACGAGGACAATTACGAAACTTAGGAATGAAGCGACCAGCCGATCATCTGTCCAACGATTAAGTGATTTTCGCGAACTCCCTAAGTAGGGCTGGTTACTTTTAAATATTTATTCACATCAAATAAAAAGTAATACATTGCGGTAAGAAAAGGTTTTTTTGACAAATCGGGAAGGATAAGAACAGAGAAGTCATTTTCGAGGAGAAAAAGGCGATCTAAACCCAACTGAGAATTAAAAAGTGGTTGTCATTTTCTTCTCGTGTTACCTCATCACTGCAAACAGCTCCATATTCTGCCGTTTTTTTTGCACCGTAGCAAATTCCTTAGTTGCTGTTCTACCTTAAGCCGCCAGAGATTTGTTCCTCGAGGAACATTAAAGATCCTAAACCTCTCTCGTTCTACGTTCTACGAATTGCTCGCTAACGAGCATCGAAATCTAGCCAGATACGTTTTTCCGTCGTCATTGACAAAGTAGATGAAATGGTTACCTTAATGTGGTTTGCATGGATTTCCCTGTGTCTACTATCATGGCATTAATCATTTTCCTTGGAAGGAATCGCATGGGCGATATATGGTAGATGGCAGTGTAAAAATTGCACTCACTGTTTTCCATTCTCAATTTTTTCAGTCAGTAGCGAGACTCGGCACACACCCGTCCCTTTCTATGGGAATCGCATCGCCAGTAAAAAAAAAATGAGCAAAAAGAATCTAACATGTAAAACGTGATGGCATTTAGTGGCGTTCCTGATCACGGAGCTCAATAGACCGATTTCGTGTATGAAAGAGAATGTTGAAGACATTCTGTTACTTTCCCGGATTCACAAGATGAAGCGACATGATTTCGGAAGATGAAGACTACAATCTACAGACCTAAGATATCAACCGGAGATGACGACTGCTATTTTCTATGATTCTCTCACTGTTATCGACAAAAAGAAAAAAAGCAAAAAATAAAAAAGGGTAAAGCTCTCGGCGTTGACCAATTCCTGAGGGATGCGCAATGCATTCGACTTCATTAAGCATCGTTTGGAGGTGATTGAATGCATATATGGCTTTTAGAATGACTCGTGATGGCCTACCAATGTATCGACTCAATGGTGCTATCGTCCAAACAAATCTGGCACCAAGTTAACGACCACGGAGGGATGTAGGGCTTAGTAAGCCATAGCCGCGGGATCAATTTCACGTGTGTGTCGCATGGTGCCTCCGACCACTGCGCCACACGCGCCCACGATGAAAAGCAAAAAAAGAAAAAATCTTGCTGCTTATATCTCCAGATATCGATCAAAAATTTCTTTAACTACAACCATGATTGCTATGAGTGGTTTAAAAAAACCACGCTGGAAAGCTGTTTAACCTCCGAAAGCAAATCTCCGAAAAATGGTGATTATGCTGGGGCCCGCACAACCAGTGAGGACGGGCCGTTCAAGTGTCAAGTATCAAGTATTATCATTATTATCACTATTGCTCGTTGTTATTACTATTGTTCATTATCGTTATTATTAAATGATTGCGGAGAAGAATATATTGGCGAGACGGGCAGACCTTTATACATCCATATAAAAGGACACCCAGATGGCAAACGAAAAACAGGACAAAGTACTCCGCTAGGGGCGCATAATCATTGACATTCCACATTCGTAAGATTGTATTTTAACACAAAACCGCTAGCAAGCGTTTTCAAACATATCCGTGGTAAATCGAGTTATTTTAATTAGTAGATGTACTCGGTTAACTTCAAGTGGTTAGCAAAAGTAACCTAGGAAACCGCGAGAACGAAGATGAAGCAAATGCGTCCACAGGAAACAAACGTAACAATACCAAGTAACTGCTATGGCAAACAGCAAACTTGAACAAAATGACGGCAAGACTGAGAATCAGCGAACAATGACGATCCTGAAAAGGAATACAGAGGTGTAGAATACGATAATCCTAAGAAACAATGTAGACGGAAAAAGAAAGAGCTGCAATCGCAACTGCATATAGCAAAGGCATTCATTCTGCACTTGACCTCTCTCGTCAAGCATAATAGTAGTAACAACAATCAAATGTTCGGCAATGATCCATCCCGAAGAGAAACGCCATGTATTCGACTTCATTCTAGCATCGTAGAGGAACATGAATACATATTTTGCCAGTGGGACGACTTATAAAGGCATAACGATGTCGGTGCTTTTCATTCTCGCGGACAAGTGTGGCACCAACTTCCCAAACTCGGACGGATGGCGGCCTTGTTTCCACAGGGTGAGGAATCGAGGTGAAGACCAAGCAAATGGCTCTACACCTCTAACACAGCGTTACACGCGCCTCATCTCGTCAAATAAGGAATTTATTGCTATGCAATGAAAATTACCGGCAAAAAAGTGACCAAAAAAGGCTTCAGTTCCGTTTCCTTCGGCGTAAAATCTCAACCTTAACCCCAGCTGCTTGCGTGATATTTCAACAGAAGATTTGCAAAATAAAACTGCTTTTTACCACCTTTTCATTACCACAAAGGAAAATGCGATCAATGACGGTGAAAAGTATCCTTTAAGACTTTTACTACACATTTCAAATATAAAGACAAGTATTTAAAAGAGATTCGGAGAGAAAACGGATCGCTGAGGGTACTAAATTTCCCAAGAGAGTAGAAAACTCATTTCAAATGGTGGCCAGTATGGGTGGAGCACACCATTAGTTAAGAAGTTTTTTGGCCATTTTTCATTTTCCGAACCAATTTTACCAAGCTGGATTACTGATAGCCCTTAACTAAAACCAAAGCCTACTACAATTACATAATATGGTGATGAAGCTCTGAATGAACGAAGCTCTCGGCGTTGATCAATCCGTGAGGGATGCGCCATGCATTCGACTTTATCAAGTATCGTTGGAGGTGACCGAATTCATATTTGGCCCTTCCAATAACTCGCGGTGGCCTGCCGATGTATTGAGCCAGTGCTGCTATCCTCCTAGACAAGTCTGGTACCAATTTGCCGACACCGGAGAGATGGAAGGCTTTGTGAGCCATGGGCGCTGGAATTGATTCCACGTGTGTGTCGCGAAGCGCCTCCAACCACTGCACCACACACGCCCTTAATATGGTGATATTGCAGTGAAATAAATAAATACGATAACAATCGACGACTCATAGAATGATTTGTTGCGCATATGGATATTTTCACAAAATTACTCAATATAATAAACCAATATACTGGACATTGGATTTCGACTACAGCTTCAACTTAACTGGGTTCATTGTCGATTTGGGCTCTCCAGAACAATCCCGTTGACGGGTGAATGCTGGTCGCACTGATCGATACAACTAGCTGAGAGACAGGCGAAACGAATGCCCAGCACGGTGTGGTGGTGAACAGGTTAGCCCCCGGAAAGGGTAATAGCGAGTTCGTTCTCCACCGCGGACACCTGCGGTCCGGAGTTTTGCAAATATCCAAGCATTATACAAGTTATATTTCGCAACATACCCTGTCATTAAAAAGAATAGGCAGTAAATTAGTAAAAAAGTCGTCAAACTCTTTCTAGGTGTGGCTATGGCTAACGTTAGAACATTTCTTTTCTTCAAGAATGTTGTTGAATGTCGGCCGAGTTGATTCTCCTGGAGTCTTGAGATAGTCTAACTAGACCATTCCCAGTTCGTTCGGGGGAGACGACTGTTCACAGAGAAGTCTAGTACCAATCTCCTAGGTTCGGAAGAATAAGAGGCTTACTGAGCCCGGAACGGGATCGAACCAGCCAGTGTACGGGTGCGGATGCCCATTTTTTGAACTCGACCACTACCACCGCATTTACCGAAGACGAATTATGGAAAAGAACTCTACACTACTAAGGTTGCAAAGGATACTCTTTTCTATTAGAAGTCTATAAACTTCTTAATTACTTACGTGCTCCAGTCACAGAAAAACCCCCAGTAACTACCGAAAAATCAGCATTGTCGCTAACGCATTGACAAGTTGGGTGGCGTACCATGGAGCTGACATCATAACTAACGTATTAAACCCTTCAAGAACTATCTCAAGGCGATGTCACCCCAAGAGTTGTTCGCCGGAATGCAACAGGAAATGAGAGCGCTTGGGGTAACAAAATAATTCCTCCCAAACCGTTTGAACACATCTACAAATGAACATGAACCTGTTGGATGGGCACAAAGAGAATGCAACCAAGTCGCCTATGTCTTCAATTACACTCCTATCTAGAGATGACATCAGAAATAGCCACCAAATCTCAGAGATGTCATTGTAGCAGCAATCATCTGCATAGATGAAGAGGACAAGAGAACGAAAGCAAACTGATTTTGTACTGAATCTTATACGATTCAAACGAATGAGAGAGACAAGAACACAGATAAGTAGGCGAAATCCAATGCTTCACTAGGTATAGTCTCAACTATTCTGTCAAGAACTTAAACACACTCGATACATACAATACATTAAAAGTGAGTGAATCAGTGATCGTATCACAGCTGACAATCAATTCAATGGCTTATTATCAGTTGCTATAAAATACTTATATATCTTCTAGTCAATAAAGAACATTTTGCAATTTCTACCAGAGAATTCCAACGAAGAAATGTGACATCCGCGTCTTCCTAAAGTTCTCCACTTATCGTACCTGCGTAAGATTTCCCAATGGAACTCCCGGAATTCATGTTTGGGCAATAGTTCGATTTCAGTTCTGAAAAATGCTACTGATACAATAGAGCAAGACGATGAAGTGTAATCCTATAGCCACAACCATCTAAGCGGGTAACTCTCAGTTGACCGTAATTAAACTAATTATACACAAACTTCTACTACCTTGTGAACCACTTGCAATCAGCTGTCTCCTTTGGACACGCTTTTATCTCGCCGCCGATGAAGTCCATTAAGCACATAAAATAGATGTCACCAACGTTTTCATACTGAGAAACATTAACTTGCCTGGAAATATGAAGTGAGAAAAAGTAAAACGTAATGTTTGACATCAATAAAGTGAATATCATCGCAGAAATTTCTTTTGGTCACCAACACCTGCACCAATGATTAAGTTCTAAGTGTTAAGGCTGTCATAAGAGTCGATAAAAAACTATCGTAATCTACAAACAGTTGTCACATACTTGTATGGCTTTTATAAATATCCGAATACTTCTCTTACTCTGCTGTGGAACTAACTGATTCATAAACAATTTCTGATATTGCAAATTGTTCAAAAATTGTAGATTGAAAAAAGAAGAAAATTTTGAAGAATATCAAGCCCGCAAGCTATCAATAAATGTTAATTCTTTTAGATTAGTACTGAAAAAATTTAACAATAGAACGAAAAACTGGAAAGATCCGCAGCTTCTGCAAATGAGGAGTAACTGAGACTGCTATGTATAGAGATAGACGTACTAAAATTTTCATACTGACAGTTCCTGACATTGTATTGTTATAACTTCGGTTGAGGAAAAGAACAATACCTAAAACATAGTATCGCTTTTCCAGCAGCCCGTACCCCAGTTTCTTCAAAGACTTCACGAGCAGCAGTGTCGAAAATGCTCTCTCCTGGGTCTGATGTTCCACCAGGAAACTTCCACCCGAGATAACACCTAGAATTTAACAAAAAGCTACATGAGTTTTCCGTCCTGATCAATGCGAATGCATGACAACTCGCCCACGTCTTTCCTTCATCAACAGAACACGATTTTCCGAATCTATCACGAGTCCACCAACTCCAATGACTGTATGGGCGTACCTACAATGATATGAAAATTTCTACTATGAAGTCCAGAACTACAACACGCAACCAGAATTAACTGCTGAATAGAACATCGCAAAATCAGAAGCAATCGTTAACAAAGCACTCATGTCTGAAATGACAACCCTACGAGTTAGAATTTAGATTGATCCAAACGAAAATATGCATAAGAACGAGATAAACAGTGCAAACACATAATGAATAGGGGATAAAAAACTCAACACGGTTACTCTCAAATATTCCCACCGTGGCAACGTCGATGGAGTATCAGGCAACCATTTTGTCATGACCAAGTAATTCGGCTGTGTATGATGGAATTCGAAACCTTTTTCCACCAACACTGGAATAATGTGAGAATCCTAAAACTTTGCATACGCTAAACAGAAAGAAGGAAAGCCTGAAAACCATTGACCCATTAAGCCAATGTTCCCTGCAAACCACATCCAGATTTCGAAACTGGAATATGTGAAGAGTTTTTGCCCAATTAAGGAAATGTATAGTTCAAAAATAAAGAAATACTGTGAAAAAAGCGGCTAACCTTTATTTCGATCCTAATCCATACACCCTGGACATTTCCTTTCCTCCAGTTATTCAGTGATTCCGAAATGATTGAAGAAAACACATCTGCTCGCCTTTCGTCTACTTCAAGGTCAGAAGATGAGACAGTTACACCGCCAAATATGTCATATCTTTCTTTGAAAGTCATCTTAAAAACGATAGAGTTCATCACGTAAATTATTGGAAACTGACAATATTCGCTACCACAAAACTTGAAGAAACCTTTTATTCGGTTGCTTAATCGTCGTACTTATTAAATTTTGTGTCTTAAGTTATACAGTGATGGAAATATCCGTGCAATTAAGAAAACAATCTAAAGAATTCCCAAAAGCCTCAATAGCCTTATCTATATACATATTTATGTATATAATATACTCATACATATATGCATATAATATACGTACACATATATGTGTAAATGTATGCAGTTATATGTAATGTATATATATCCTATATAGGTAGTGTATATGCGTACATGTGGCGCAGTGGTCGGAGACGCCCTGCAATACACGGGATCGATCCCCGCGCCCATGGTCCACCAAGTCCTCCATCCCTCCGGGATCGGCAAATTGGTACCAGACTTGTTCAGGAGCACAGCAGCACTGGCTCCACACAACGGTAGGCCACCGCGAGTCATAGTAAAGGCCAGATATGCATTCGATCGCCTTCAACGATGCTTAATGAAGTCGAATGCTTGGCGCATCCCTCAAGTATTGATCAACGCCGAGAGATTTAACATTGAGCCGTAGTTTTGTGCAGCGTATACAAATATATATATATATATATTTCTGTAAACAAACACATTTACACATACACGTATATGCATTTATATATATATATATATATATATATATCGCAACAACTGCTCCCCATTATAATGAGAAGGAATTCGTCAATGACACATTTTTCAAGTTTCTCGATAGAGATATGCATTAATTTCAATGCATACATGGTCGAAAACAATTCGTTCAGCTTTAAATCAATGTATCTCAGTTTACAGCCAAAATCAAAGTGATGTTTCGAGGAAACTACACGAGGCATTGTCGCGAGCGATAAGGAAAAGCTGCTTCTACGACTCTATCGAATCCGAGATTCCTTACGTAGTACAGTTATTAAGAAATGATCAGCAGTCACTGGAAAAACAAGACTGTCACGAATTTTTTAAATTCTATCCCCATCAGAAGGTGAAATAAGCATCTGAAAAACAGATAGGACACCTGGGAACGATTCATCTGTCACCTGTATCACCTGTAGTCCCGTTGATCGTCGAGTGACTCGAGTCCGCGTTAGTAAACCTTCCATTTTCCCCTGTCGCGCGCAAGAGTAGCCCAGTGGGTTCTGCTCGCTCTAGGAAGTCGTCGAGCGTCGTAGCTTTCTTCTAGGCTCTTCGTGAAAAACTCTGACCATTGGGTCGGTGGTCTTCCTGCAGTGCATTTGATATCTCGAGAAATCCAGTTACTAACGGCTCCTGTCCATCGGCTGTCATTCATACGCATTACGTGTCCAGCCCACCTTATCTTCGACTGCATTCGATATGGAGTAGGTCACCCTTCCTGAACAATGACACGCTCTTGCTGGTCTTCCACTAAGTAGAGACCTTGCATTCAGACAGGTAACGTGTGAAGAGCCGAGCCAGTGTACTTACGAGGACTGGCGGAAGGTTCTTCAGGTGTTCTGGTCTTATCCTGTCTGGACCTGATGCTGTTCGATTTTTCACCGACGAAATGGCATGTCGGATTTCGGAAGGGAGAACCGGTGGTACAATATATCCATCCTCCTTTATTTCATATGACGGAAGCTGAACGTGGCTATTGAAGAGATCCGAGTAGTATTCGTGAATGATTTTCTCCATCGTCTTTTTGCACGCCGTAACTGTTCCGTCTGGGTGCCGGAGTGAAATCATTTTGGTCTTGTAATTGGCGAAGCTGCAGTGGGCTTTGCGAATGCTTTTCCCAGCCTCTGCAGCTTCGATCATTACTGCTGCTTTTCTCTCTTTAAGATCTTCTTTCATCGCCTGTCTGCATTGTTTTGTAAGTTCGGACGACAGTTCGCGGTTGCCTGCAACTCTTGCGATTCCACGCTGGCGTATCAGCTCGAGTGTTTCTGGAGACAGGCGTCTCTTGGTGACTTTCGAACTCTGAGCTTTCATACGTTAACGTGAAGATATTGACTGAACCGACCGTATTTTTCGTCGATGTTATCGACAACGGCATCTTCTCAACAGCCGACTAATGAATTGAATAAGTCCCACTTTGCGGTGGTTCTGGGACTTCGTTTTTTAATTTAGCGGCTTTTTCTCCTTTCCGCGAGAAATAGAGTCATGCACGAAGGGGACGGTGGTCGGATCCTGTATAGAAATTTTAGGACAACAGCGACATCGGTTAGGCAAAACCTTCGGTTTACCATGATATGGTCTATATCGTTATGGTGGTCTCCACTGAGAGACTCCCACGTCCAGTGCTGAGGATGGGGCTTCCGGAATGCGAGTTATCATGGTCTTCATGACAAACTCAGAGCCGCTCACCCTGTTCGTTCCATTCTAATCCGTGGGTCCCAATGTGACGTTCTTCAGACGTTCTTCTTGGTCCAATCTTGGCGTTGAAATCTCCAATGATGACCTTGAAGAATGTGTGATATTCTCTGTAGAACTTCTCCAAGTCCATATAGAACGCTTCGACTTCTTCTTCGTCATAGTTTGATATCGGCGCATGAACGACGAAGAATGTCAAAGCCGGTATTCATCCGCGTCTTTTTAATCGTAAACGTCCGATTCTCGATGTTCATGGACAAACTCGTGTTGACGAGAACGCCGACGCCGCCGACTCCTCTACTGCCGCATTTTCCAAGTAACAGTTCTTCTCCGGTGTCATAGACGACATTGAATGGATGGGGTCGTCTCGTCTCGGCCAAGCGGATGACGTCGTACCTTAACCTTCTTGTTTGCATGAGCGAGCCCTCTATCGAGGACTCGGATGCAAGTGTACGTGCATTGTAGGTACAGATCGTCACCATAGTTCTTTGAAATCCAGGCAGCTTCCGTTGGTCCTGAGATTTTAGCAGTCTCTCCGTACTCGTCCTACCCAACGCCGCCGAATTGGTGGCTCTTTTGGTGTCAGGGGAATGAGGCTCGTTTCTTTCAGTTTTCAGCTTTTTGATACCTGCGTATAGCTTGCTAGGCTTTGAATATGGGAGCTGGGTATACTCACGGGTAGCCTGCCAGGCTCTGCCAGAGTGGACATGGAGCTTATTTGTTGGAGGCGACTCCTCACCGTCTCCCACGTACTTCCCTGTCACTTGATTGCAGTCTTTTGGCCGAATTGACTCGTACAATGCAGTCCGCATAAGCGAGAACGCACTCACACACGCATGCATGAAATTGCTGACGTTTCGGCGGTTTCGCCTTCTTCAGAGCCCACTATTCTCTTCCAAAGGGATTCCTCCAAATACTGGACACAATAAGATTCCTTCGACTTGCATTTCTTCAATTGCGCGTACATGGTGTTCTGCTTGTACCGAAGAGAGGCACGTAGTAGTCGCGTTTCGATGTCCAGTACTAGTTGGCTGTCCCTTGGTAGGCCGCACACATCGTGTAGTCGTTTTCGTTTGATGAAGTTTGGCACGACTCGGTGTTTCAGGCAGCGGCGGAGGAAGAGTATCGTTTGTCTAGTTAAGACAATTTTTTGTCTTAGTGACAGGACTTCTTTTACAAGTCGGAAATATTCTGCTGGCACTTCACGTAGTAATTCCCAAGACCGACTTTCTGTTAACCTCAGCATTAATTGATAATTCAATGTTTTTCATCAATAAGCAGACACGAGGTTGTTAATATA